TGCAATAAACTTGAAGTCAAAGAATGTTGATGCAGAACAACTACGGAATCAATGAGGATCAATCATTTCAGATTATTCGCAAATTATACGACGATATGAATTTGATGGAAGAGTACAAAAGATGGGAAGAAAAAATTGATTATGATATCCGTTCTGAAATTCGGCAATTGCCTGAAAATCTGCCACATTCACTGTTTTACTCACTTTTAGATAAAGTGAAAGATCAAAAATGGATGTTTTGAAGCCTGCTCGACATAGCAAAACAGCCTAGATTTGTTAAGATAATTATAAATATTAATACAGAGAGCAGTTGATTCAAAGTTCCACTTCTAAATTGACTCGAATGATTCAATAGAATAAAAATTGACGTTTGATGCATATACGAGTCACAGTTTCCAAAATCACCTGCCTTTATCAAACTATACGTCTTTACCAAATCAAATTGTCAAATTGAATAGTTTTTTTCTTTTCTATCACACTTTTTTTCTGGTAGATATTTTTCCCACCCTGTATCGCTTGATTAGGTAGCGTAAACTATTTACAAATGATTCACCTTTTCGAGTATTTTTTTGCCAACATATTCAGCTGATGGATAAAATAAAATAAAAGTTGCTTATGAATTTTATTTTTCTTTGAGAATAAATTATTTGGTTTACATGATAATCTATAGAAGTTTGACTTTTCCACTGTTTTATTTCAGTTCTTCAGGATTTATACCGACGAAGACAGCTAATGAAAATGAACATCTTAGAAACGAATATAAAGTTTCAGAATAATATAAGTAGTATCATCTACATCATACCATAATCTGGAGACTTCAACCATAGTTAACATATAATAAAATGTTTTTGAAAACGTTACCCCTTCGTAAAGATATCTGTAATCATGTCTTCTGTAGAAAATAGTGAAAATCTTACAATAAAGTGTATTAGTTACTTTTAATATGGATTTTCATCAAGAATCGGCCTGTTCAATTCTCTTCTATAGGCCTGTATTCCACATAAACACCTGATAAAATGATACTTGATAGGTCAGTAGAAGCTTAAGTTTAAGTTTGTGGGGTCGCCACCCTTGTCCCCCGGCCGTCACCTTGGAAAAAGGGGTGCAAACTCACCTCTTTGTAGCTAATTATATAAGTCGATGAATAAAAATCCAAGAAATCGGTTGATAACGTGCAGCCAGCTAACGGAAACGCTACTACTGCGCCTAATCCACGTTTCATTCAGGTCATTTGGAAGCTTCCTTCATGCAGATGGTGCTAGGCACATAGAATGACCACAGAACACTATAGATAGGGTGTTCTGTGGAATGACTTTGAACGATATGGCCTTACAACCTGTCTGGCCTTATTACCCAACGGTACCTTGAACAATTGATTGACGGGTTCGTGTTTAGATGTCAAAACCAATAAAATCTACTTCAATATTTACGGAAGATACAGAAGAAAATACGGAAGATAGTATGTTTTACCGTAAAAATGGGTTCTTCCATCACAAGTGGCGGCCATTGTATATCACTTTGGCCAACCCCATTCAAGTAGTATGTGCATTTTGAGCATTTCCATCAGTCCTGAGAGTTTCATCATTCTACCTCAATTATTACAGAAGATACGGGGGTGTTTGAGAGACAAATTCGGATTTTTCAGGACTGAAATTAATTTTTTCACGAAAAAGTGTGTTCGTAGTGAGTTGGTAGTCCTGATCACGAATCTGAAGGAATTTTGAGCCTATTTTGCCCCCTAGTATGTTTTACCGTAAAAACGGGTTGCTCCATCGCGAGTGGCGGGCATTGTATATCACTTTGGCCAACCCCATTCAAGTGGTATGTGCCTTTTGAGCTTTTTCATCAGTCCGGAGAGTTTCATCATTCTACCTCAATTATTACGGAAGATACGGGGGAGTGTCCATGAGAACTGAGACACTCTGTATATATTTGACAAAGTAGTTATGACTGATATCTGTGAGATGAAAATGTCGCTTCATGAATTTCTTTATAGTATTTTTATAAAAAACTTGTTTATTATTTTTATCTACCTGATTATTCCCGCCAAGCATGTTGAAAGTCATTTTCAATGTACATATATATTCAAGTATTTGATAGTTCCAGCCATAAACAGAATGTAAAAATACATAATTATTCAACATTTTCCGTTTTTTATCATTTCATTGTCAGAGCAAGCATAATGTATTTTGCAAGACAGATAGGATTTTCCAAAATTAGAACCCGTCAAATAAAATCGATTCGTCAGATTAGTGAATTATACAATTTTGAAGAAAAAAATCATTATTCCACTTCAAGTGGTGATTTCATTTTGTTAAAAACTGCACAACGAGCACTTTCCTCGGGAAATATTTATCGGTAAGTTTTATACTATTGATTCCTGAAATATTGAATATTCCGTTAGATAATCTGACATTATAATTATTGTTCTTTTCATCAACATTTCTGAAATGAAGTTCAAGTTCAAAATTAGAATGCACTAACCTTCAATACTATAAGTATTGGCGATACTTTTTTAATTTCCGTAGCCTATAGAAAGTTTCCATTCTGACAAATTAATTACCAAGATCGAAACCTTGAATTACTGCTTACGTCGTACTCTCAGGTAATATTAAAATCGGTGGAGGAATTACTAGAGAGCCATTGCCATTGCAGAACTCTTCCTTCTCAGCTAACTTGCAACCCGGGCTTTCGAAAAATTCTCATTTTTCATTTCAAAACTTTAATATACTTCACCTCCGTCAGTAGTGCTTCATTTTCAAATATTATTTTGTCCTTTTCCTTATTTCAAGAAAAATGATTTTCCTTTCTCCATTTGAAGAGGCAGATTTTCAACTCTACTAAATATTCTCAGGAAAGAAAAATTGTATTACCGCATGGACACCACCTCTCATGCAATTTTTGATGGTTTAAAACGTATTACAAAGGTCAAAAGGCTCAAAAAGAAATTTTCACGTTTCGAAGTCTGTTCGTGTTCGCTTTCGCGCAACCAAAACGGTCTTTTTTTGATAAGATCATCACCTACGACAACAGGAGACGTTCAGGATTCACTATAACTTCCTGCAACTGGGCCAAACCAACACGAGTCCTTTTGCGAGAAAATCGACGAAATATACCGAAAATTGCATCAGCAGAAGAGGTCAACAGAAGAGGTCCGACTCTGCTCCACGACAACGCCCGTCCGCACGTTTCACAAATTAAACGAATTGGGCGTCGAAATTCTCACGGATGACTCTTTTCCGGATGGAATCCAGCAATTTCAGGTTATGTTTGGGGGCAGAGCTCAATACATGAGAACAATACTCCAAAGAAGGTCTGTATTTTATAAAGCATCAAAAGCTGCTGAGGTGTGTACAGTTTTCTGGTTCGGAACAGTGTTTCGAACTTTTGAGAAGCAGCCTTTGCAATTCCAGCGACATAATTGTGCCAAGACATATTGGTGTCCATATCAACGCCCAACAAACTTATCGAAGCAGAAAGCGGAATTGTCTGACCTGACATTATCATATTCGGTTCGGAGACAGTTATCTTTTTAGAGAAAACCGATGCCTGGGTTTTTCTGGCATTAAATTGAACCTGGTTAATTTCACCCCAATTCGAAATCACTTCTAGATCCTCATTAGGATATGCAACCTCCTGCTGCCGGTGAAGATATGCTTCCGTAGCTGATGTCCTGAAATCCTAATGAAATGATGCTGTCGTTCGCAAAGCAATATATTGGATTATTGGTTTTTCCCAATAAGTCGTTGATATACAATAAAAATAGGGTTGGAGACAATATGGATCCCTGCGGAACACCAGCGTTGCTGAGGAAAGTATTCGAGAGATATCCACTTGCAGGGAACGTTCTTTCAGGACGCTGAAGAGCCATACACAAAAATGATCCGACAAGCCATACCATCGAAATTTGTTCAGCAAACTCTCATTCAGTAGCCAGCCAGTATCAATTCAACTAATAGTTTGACCAACTGGTGAACCAATTACCTAGTAATTACGTCAGTAAATCGTTTGGAAAAGAATCAGGTTGAATTTTTTTTCTGATTGATTCGGCCGTTACTTGATGAAGATTCATAGTAATTTCATAAACCACAACTCACGATTTGGTCTCCACAAACTTTATTTGAAAAATATATCACATGTTTCGCTAACACAGTAGCTTCTTCAACATTGATTTGAATACTCAACTGAATATTTTTCTTTGTGTTTACAAAGGAAGAAACTGTGGAAACTGCTGAAGGGATATCGAATTTCAACGAAGAGGATTATGAAAAAGATTCGAAAAAAAATACGAATTATAAATAATGAAAATACTATTAAACAAAAAAGATCATGCATTATAAATTTAGCAATATATTCCAATAATTTTATCAAGTAGACAATAAGAAATTGCGTTATTATTGAAGGCTTTCATTAGACTACTTATTAAAAAGGCTCTTGATTACTATGTGCGCGTTTTTATTCACAGCGACAATTTAAACACGCTTTGTGTTTGGCCCGTACGATAGGTCTGGCACCTAATGAAATATTCAAAATAGACCTTTGAATATAATAGATGAAAATCAAGTCTCAGATTATGAGTGAGGTTGTTTTTCACTTTAGATATTTAAAGCGTCTGGCAATGAATACTGACGACAGAAGGTGTCTGGCAGTGTTAATTTCAAATTGTTTACAATATTCCCTACAACATACGTGAGAATCAGTCCTAAGACAATAAATGAAGTGAGAACAATTGATTATGCCAGCCCAAGCTGGCGAAAATATATACAGTGTGTAAAAGTCATATGGAATAAATTCATTATTTCGGTTACTGTACATATTTAAAAAAATTCTGAAACACGTCAGATGTAAATAATAATTTGACAATCTTCAACGTAAAAATGCTACCCCTACCTTCAACCCCCTTCGAATGACAGGTACAACTCCCAATTTTTTAAATGGGAAGTATAGGTTAGTGATATATCGTTTGAAAGGTCTCTTCATTCTCTATTCAAAAATGTTATTGCTTTCAAGTCTATTGCAACAATTGAGATAAAATAAAATAAAATCATGTGGTTACCAAAATTCGATAAAATACACTCAAAAACTAAAATGAAATGCAAAACGTAATGAAATGTAGAATACGAAAAAAAAACTATGGATGTTAACGAAGTAGATGTTCAAAATGTTCACCGCGAACGTCGTGGCAACATCCTAATCTCAAATAAAACTGTCTTCTAACATTATTTAACATATCAGGCGTGACCGACATAATCGAAAGCGTTATTCGTTCTTTTGAGTCATCCAAATCTGAACGTTCAGTTTTGTACATATTGCTCTTCACATATCCCCATTAAAAGAAATCTAATGATGAAAGATCAGGTGATCGTGCTGACCATCCAATCGATCGTCGCCTCCCTATCCACCGATTGGGAAATGTTGTATCGGGGTATTGCCGGACATTAACTTGGTAATGTGGTGGTATTCCATCCTGTTGAAATCATATCGTATTCACTGGAACTTGAGGGTTTCCTGGATCAGTATATAAATTTGCTTAACGTGGAGCAATGATAAAGTTTCCCATAATCCCTGCCAAAACATGAACCGTTTGAGGGTATTGCATGTGTTCTTCTCTCATCCAGTGAAGATTTTTCGTTGAGCAGTAGCGGAAATTTTGCCGATTAGCATGACCGTTAAGAGACAAAGTACATTCATCAGAAAACAACATCTTCTAATTGGATGATATTGTTATCCAACATGTCCATCATTTGCTAACAAAAATAAGTTCTTCTATCAAAATCATCATGCAAAATCATCATGCATTTTATATTCTTTTAATATGTTTACTATCGATGTATGGCTAACATTGAATATAGTGGATGCCTGTCCACTCGATGTATGTGGGTTTTCCTCAAACTCAAGGATCACATCTAATTTGAGTTCATCACTCATTGTATTGGCAACTGCTTTTTTTATCTGCCTCACATGACCAAACTCGCGAAACTGCTTCTCTATTTTGCTTATTGTTCCTTGAGATATGGGCGGTAAATTAGAAAAATTCTCATGAAATAGTCAGGACCCGAACACAACAGGAAGATAAAACCCGAACACAACAGGAATTTTATCTCCTCAACCAATCATTTGTAAAACTGTTATTTTATGCATTTCCGTTAATCTAACCATTTGTCAGACTTGAAGTTAACGAACTTTAAACTTAAATTAATATACTGACAACTAATGTTGACAAGGCGTTTCAAACTAATGTTGCCACGGAAATTATTTACAGTTTTTCAAAGGATACCATCTAAAAAGAACATTGCTATGGTTTTTACTTACTTTCTTATAATCATCTTGTTATCAATACCTTAACATGAAATAAGTTTTGAGTATATTGCAATAAGTTTTGAGTGTATTTTATCGAATTTTGCTAACCACATGATTTTAATTTATTATATCTTAATTGTTGCAATAAACTTGAAAGCGATAACATTTTTAAATAGAGAATGAAGATACTTTTCAAAAGATATACCACACCTATACTTTCCATTTGAAAAATAGGGGGTTGTACCTGTCATTCGACGGGGGTTGAAGGTAGGGGTATCATTTTTCCATTGAAGTATATCAAATTATAATTTAAATTTGATGTGTTTCGGGATTTTCTTAAAATATGTACCGTAACCGACATAATGAATTTATTCCATTTGGCTTTCACACACTGTATGTTAACATGTTCACTGTACACACACAAACACGTTTACTGTACACACTAAAACTACCCTGTTATATATTTTATGATATGAAATGAATGACCAAGAAATGAATAAGGTCTGGGAGCCCTGGAATCTTGGACTATTAGAAATGAAATGTATTCGAATATGTGTCAGACAATTATATCTACGCATGGTTATGTTATTGAAAAGTTTACAAAGTACCATAAAATCGGATTTTTTTTTCAGAGCGTCTTCGAAATTAATTCAAAGGAACCCTTTTCTAAATGAATCAGCTGATGAATTCACGAGATATTTTCCTGAATTTGTGGAAGTTCTTGTCAATGAAGAATTATATGGAAGTGTTCCGAAGTTGAAAGAGCAGCTCAGAGAAGTTGTGCAATCAAATATTGGTTATGGAAATAATGTCAGGGGTAAAGCAACAGTTGCAGCATACAAGGCTTTCGAAAAACAAGAGAACCTCTCAACTGAAAATATAAAGTTAGCAGTTATACTTGGATTGTGTTTTAGAACGGTAAGCCCTTGAGTAATTAGGCAAGTACTGAAATATAAATGAACAGAATTACTTACGTAACGTAAGTAGTTTCTAGATGAACAATTTCCTGGTTAAGTCACGGTCAAGAAGAAATTAAGTGAAATTTAAGAAACAGAATATTTTTTTCTTTCACATTCAGTTAATGTATCAAAATCACAGAATTCGAATATTTTTGATTTCCACTTCTCGATAATGACGTAGGAAATTTCAGCAAAATGAAGATCTTGAGAACTGGAAATTTCATTAAAAAAGATACCTTCAGGGTTATTTTTTATTATTGACCAAATACTGAGTGGACCTGCTGTCTAAGTCCTTCAATTGGACAAGTTCGGTGCCAAATTGTAGACATATTTGAGCCTTATCATCTGTCGGATATTTTTCTGTTTCTTTGATATCACGAGAAAAATATCTAATCAAAAAGAAATAATGTAGAAAACGTAACGTATTTTTTGGGAAAGAATGTTTTTGGTTTTTTACTACTCCATCTTGCGTAGGAATCCTGCGAATGATATCTGACTCGATTCCATCACGAATGTTTGGAATATAAACGGAAGAGAAAAAAGTGTTTTTTGTATAATTCAGCGTTCATATAGGAATGTTTATATGAAAATAGCTGTTTCGAGAGGGCTTTTTCTTCCAGTTTGTGTCTGACAGTTACTTTTTTGCATGATCTACACATCTTTGTATAGAGTTAATTTTTGAAATTGATTGCTTCCTTCCTTCGTTTGGAAGATTCCCACGTTTTTGTGTCAAAATGAAGTAGTAGAAAGAGAAAAACTTTCTTTCCCTAAAAATTTATTACTCCTGAAAATATACCGATTTTTTTACAAAAATCATTTGTTTTTCACGATATTTGGTAGAAACTTATCTTTAATGATTCCTTGTATAAACAGAACAAATCAATTTAACAAAACACACCTCACTATTCAATCGTGAGATGGATTTTCAAAAAATATTTCACGACATAATTCGCTATCACAGTAGCTTTTTCGTAGAACAAATTAACAGTGATATGAAAAAAGCAAAATAACGAGAATTACTAAAAAAACTTAGATTGAAAGAAAATGTTTAAATTTTTTCGCGCCAGCATTATCAACCAATTAGCTAAGCACTCTGTACACCGTTGTCGCAGGACTTAAGTGATTGCTGTGGCTTTATTTAGGTCTTTTGCTAAACGGATTTCAACTCGGTACCAGAGTTGTGATCAACTCGTTTAGTGTCGAATATTAAATCGAGTTCGTCAGTCGCTCGAGCAGCTGAGAAATGTTCCAGTTCTCGTTCTCTCATGGTAGGTGATCATGCAGAGAAGGAGATCCAACTTGCTGATGACTCAACAGGTTCCATCCAGTACCTTTTTGTCACGTAGACATTCCTAACTCAAAATTTCACGATTTCTCTGTTATCAAGGAGAGTAAAACCACGGAACGGATGATTTAGGATGTAAACTCCAATAGGGATGTGGAATTTTTCGAAGCTTTAGGTCGTGTTGATATAGCTCCTCGTGAGTTAATTTCACTACTCCCAATGAGTAGAGTAAGACTGAAACGGAAAGCATATTCGTAGCAGCAAGTCTATTTTTCCCTGACAGTTCCGATGACCAGATCTGTCGGAGTTTGTGCTGATACTTGCCGCGAAGACAGCTCTTCACCGCTGTTACCTTTCAAGTGGCGTTGTTTCACGCCAAGGTAGGTATACGCCTCCCCGGCACCCAGATTGTGCCGGCCAACCATATTCGTAGCAGCAAGTTTTTTCTTCCCTGACAGTTCCGATGACCAGATCTGTCGGAGTTTGTGCTGATACTTGCCGCGAAGACAGCACTTCACCGCTGTTACCTTTCAAGTGGCGTTGTTTCATGTCAAGGTAGGTATACGCCTCCCCGGCACCCAGATTGTGCCGGATATCTACCAGCAGCTCATCCACTCCGTAATTTCCCTATCGTCTTCTTTTCAGATGGATCGTTGCACATTTGTCTAACCCTAATTTCACACCGATGGCATGCGTATACTCTTCTGCCACCCTTAGTAACTGATTGCGATTCTTTTCTCCAGAGGCGTAATTTTCAAAATCATCTATATAAAACGAATGGATCACCTCTTACCCTCAGTTTCCGGGGTGCCTCAGTTATACTTTCAAGTATTTCTGAGCGCAACGGATAATATTAATATTGAGATGCAGAAAAGAAGAGGGCTGTGGGAATCGCTTTGAAATACACCCCATCTGAAAGTAACCTCCCCGGACCAGATGACATGGTGAAGCCAGTCTGCCAGAGTGGTATTAGTTGTTCAAGGCATCTCTCTATTTTATCGGGTACCTCAAGATGAGTGCATGCAATGTTGTATCAAATGGCTCGCGGTAATCCGTCCAGGACATAGGGAGGCTTATACTGTTTCGAGTTACACATATATCGATGTGCAGGTTCTCAAATTCAGGGGCGCCTCTCTTTGATCCTTTCTACTCATATATTCATTCGAATACTCAATGCAATGAGTATTTCCAAACTTATAACCAGAATTCAAGAATTTTATCAGTATATGATTCTTAGGAATCGACAAACCTCCATTTTTGGGGATAGTAACAGTCAGCTATCACAGCCTGACAGTTTCCACCAATAAGTGTGCAGTCCATCTGTGTTGGCAAAGTTCTTGGAATTCACAAGGGTCGTTCGAACTTCATCTGGGGTTATCGGGTTGCGCAGTTCATTGAGCTCAGGCTGTTGAAGCTTTCTGCTGAAAGCTCCGACATATGCTTGGGCTGAATTGACTAAGATTAGTAAATGCTCTTCCAGAAATATTCCACCTGGTCAGAGGTCGGAGGATTATCCACAACACTGGGAGGTTGTTGAAATAAGCGAGGTTTTCCGTGGAACGTAAGGTTTGCTGCGATTCTTCTCGCTTGCCTTACCAGCGACTTCTTAGCAGCTACTAGTATTCGTGTTCTATCAAGGCATTACTTTTTGGTGGTCAGCAGCACACCTTGATTCGAAGTGTGATGGATAAGTCATAATTTTGTATCTATTCGCCGCCCTGCGTGTGTGAAAGGCCTGATTGCTGTCTTATAATCTGTCATTCACTGGATACGAGACGCGTGTTGTCACGCCAACGTGATTGAAGCCTCCCCCGCCGTTTAATATTCCGGACTGCAACGCCAGTATTCTGATTCAGGAAGCAGTTGAATTTTCGAATTTTGGAATAATCTAGATTCTTCACATCGAAAGATGGAATGAACAATCGAACAAAAATTGGCAGATCATTCACCTCGTTTGATATATCATTAAATTCAGAAAATTATGAGACTAGACTGGAATGAAAAAGATGATATTCGATGGCTTAAGTCTTGAAAGATCGGAAAATTAAAAAACGAAACGAATATATAACATGAGTACTTGACACACATTTTTCAATATGTATGATTTTATTTTTGTGTATTTCGCCCAGCAATAATTCTGGACTTCTCAATTTTGCTACATGTTTCAGGCTGAATCATCAATCCTAATCGTGGATGACATCTTGGATAATGCTTCGACTCGATATGGAAGGCCGTGCTGGTTCAAAAACAAAAAAGTTGGTCTGAGAGCCATAATAGATGGAATTTACTTGGAGAATGGTACTCATTACATTTTGCGAAAGTATTTTTGGGCGCATCCACAATACCTCAATCTTGTTGAACTATTTCTGGAAATGTACTTCATAACAGCTTTGGGACAATCAATGGATCTAATGAATATGGATATGGATGATTTTACAATCGACAACTATAATAAGTTGACGGTTGGTAAAGCAGAATATTGTTTATTTACTATTCCAATTGTGGCTGCTATGTTTTTGGCAAACAATTCAGATCAAGAAACACATCGACAAGTGAGATCAGTCTTATCGTCTCTAGGAAATTTTTACCAGATACAGGTAAATTTTCATAAAATAATCTAATCATTACTTTTGTGAACAGACATCGGTTCAGAATTGAGAAACCCCGTCGAACAAAAGTTCTCATTGGCAGATCCTGCTAGGAGTAAACGGCAACATCAATCATTTAGTGAAAATAAAAATATCAAAGCTGCTACTTACATATCAAACAATAAAGAAACTAACGTTGGGCTCCAGGTTGCTACTGAAGACGCTCCTGAAATTATTGGTTCTTATTAACAAAATTTTCAATCATTTCGAGTTGCTACTGAAGACGCTCCTGAAATTATTGGTTCTTATTAACAACATTTTCAATCATTTCGAAATAGACCCTTGCTCAGTGGAGACAAATGGGGTTCATTATTTTAAGAAAAAAAAATTGACATCGAACATATTTTATTGAATTGAAGGCAATGTCAATATGCTTTGATTGTTGTTTGTCATTAACAAATGACGGGGTTGTCGAATATAATCATGATCTGTGAAACCGGAGCTGGATAAAGATCTCGAAATAGAGCCCATTGACAGTTGGGGATATAACTGTTAACAAAACTGTACAGCTGTGAGATGACGTCCACCACAACTTTTATTTAACAATAACCTGATTGGGAATTTGTCTGAACTTTGTGAACTCTAAAAATATCAGTTAATTAATAATTAGGTCGTATTGACAGTTGGGGTTGTATTGACAGTTGGGGATGTAACTGTTAACAAAACTGGTTTGCAACTGTACAGCTGTGAGATGACGTCCACCACAACTTTTATTCAACAATAACCTGATTGGGAATTTCTCTGAACATTGTGAACTCTAAAAATATTAATTGTGTCATATTGAGAAGAATCAGTATCTCAATGATATCACATTTTTCAAATGAAAAAATTGGATGTCAATAGTATTCAAAGATAGTGGAGCATTAGCATTAAATAATTGCTAAGCACTGATAGAAATAGATATTTTCGATATTTCGACCGGGAATATACTATTCAGTGTTTTTTTGGAATTGCCAATGATTCATGTATATGTTTTTTGAAAATGTCATCAATAAATCAGCTCTTACACTTATTTTAATGTTTAGTATCAAGATTTACCACTAATTGAATTTGTGAGGTCAAGATCATCGATTGTTGATGCAGTTAATTTAAATTAAAACGCTCCAGTTTTGAAATGCTGGATATATTTACAAAATCATGCTACAGGAGGTATTTGCCATAGAACATATTTTAACTTGATAATTTAATATTTTTGTTTTTTTCGGCAATTTATTGTGACAACTTTTGAGAGCCAATACAAAAAAATGTTTTTCTCTGGAAGGACTACACAGTTTATCCTGTATCTTTATTGCAATATCTATCTATTGTTGGACGTGTGAGATTAAACTGTTGAATACTTTTCATTTAGAAGATACTCAGTATCCTATTTTTCAGAATGATTTTCAAGACTGCTATGGAAATCCCGAGAACACAGGTAAAATTGGCTCCGATATAAGAGAAGGAAAATTTTCTTGGTTAGTAGTGAAGGCTTTTCAGAAAGCTAACAGCAGCCAGAGAATGATAATCCAAGAAAACTATGGGAAAAATGATGACAAATCGATTGAAACAATACGCAACCTGTATAACGATTTGCAATTAGAAGAAGAATATAAAAATTGTGAAAACCAGGCTCAATCTAATATCAGCTCCAAAATTTCAAGTTTGTCTGAACATTTGCCACGTGATTTGTTTTACATACTTTCAGATAATTTGTTCCATGGTAACTGGGGAACATAATTATCAAAGATGGGCATTTTTTTTCATACACTTCATAAACGAGTACTGTAATAAAACCTAATGTACATGTATCGTATCGTATTTTATTTCATCCTGTCTTTATATTATTTTATAAATAAATTGAATTACCAATTTTATTTGGCATTTCAAAATAACAGTGGACCAATTTTAGTGGAACAAAATATATAAAAAATATAGTTTAAAAAACTAAGAAACACGCTTTTATAGCATATGAAACTAAAAAAAAGTGAAAAATAATTATAGTTTTGAAAACTGAAAAAAAAACACGCTTTTAAGGAACATTGAACAAAAAAGTTGAAAATATTTGTTTTAAATAAGCTTAAAACAATAACGAAAGAAAAATACTAGTATTTTTGTGAAAAAAACTACGAGCATTTGATATACAAAAAATATGGCACGAAGCGCCCACAATCCATTTTTAATTTACTAAAGCTGGTGAAACATTTTGCAAGTGATAAGGCCTAAAGATTTTAGTTTACTTCTATAATAATTGTATATAGTTTTTATTATAATCTTGATTGTCGGCAATATGGCAAAAATAGTGTACACAGCTTATATATTTTGTACAGATTTCAGTAAACTTTTTAATTATCATTTTTGAGTGACAACTGGTCAAAACTCAAACCTATTATTATTGCCGTTAAATTGAGTGGAGCACCCTCAAATCATTAGCTCAAAATTCCTTCGAAATTTAGCCTCTATAATCAATGGAAGAAGCTTCTTAGCCAAAACATCCCGATAGATAATATTTATCCAATCTAATATACGTGAGAAATCCTATCTTCATACAAGCACTTTTGAAGTAATCTATAGCTTTAAAAGTAGTCCAACTCTGCCGCAACACCATCACTTCTAGAACTAAGTGTTTCTTAACAGATTTATAGGGGTAACACTAGCTAAAATGCGTTATAATGCTTGATATTGATACCGATTTATTTTATATAACGATGCCATTTCAAAAAGATGGCAATTCAGAATACTGATATTAGGAGTTGAAAACTCACCTGAGTTGAGTTTGCGACTAGAAATTTGATACGCAAACAGGGTGAATTTTTGTATAATTAATAATTTTTCACATATAGTCAGTGGGCATACTTGAAGACTGGCTATATATCAAATCATCTAAAGGAACAATTCGTTCAGGCCTGGGTTAACTCCCTACACTGTAGGTGATGGACTGACACCTATCAGAAAACAACTAGTTCCCTGGCTAATACCACGAATTGTTCCTTTAGATGATTCAATTAATTTTTTTTTTCAGAAACATTAATAAACGAGTGGCACCCTTAAACTTTGCTAATAATAGGCTATATATTTGTCAATAAAATTTAATTCCCAGTAAAAGTATCAATCTTTGAAATAAAAAAGTAAAATTATTAAAATGGCTTCAACATTTCTATTTGTTGATTTTTAGTTGGTGACATATCTATTATATTTTCTTAGTGTCCAATACAAAATTACTTCTTGTGCTTTTGAGAAAACATTTTGAATACTTTTTTATTTTATCGTTATCGTTTTAGGCTGCATTATATTTTAGAACGCTTACTTGGAACTACTAAAAAACTCTTTTATCATTTTATAAGTATCTTTACAAAACTACTTTTTAAGAGTGTTGGAAAAATTTTCTAGTAACTGCCGAAATGTTTATAAAACTGTTTTGTAGTGTTTGTAAAAGGACTTACAAAATATTAATAAAGACTATGTTTCATAAAACGGTACAAATTTCCTACTTATAGCTATTTTATAAACACACTGAAAATATTTCTGGGAGAAATACAGTTTTATAATATGTTTCTCCGAAACGTTTTCGCAACTATTATGAAATATGAACTTGCTATTTGGTCGTGTCTTCTATTCAATATAATCAATGAATAATATTCAACGATTGATGATGTATATATTTTCACAAAGAACAATTCACATACACCCAGTACAATTTTTACAGTGCATATTGAGTGCACCTCGAGAAGTGAATCCTGCAGAACAAAATTGGCAGATGTAAGGTCTCTCCCCGGTGTGAGTTCGAATGTGAATTCTCAATGGCGCTCCCTGACTGAAACACTTTCCACAGAATTTACAAGAATATGGTTTCTCGCCACTGTGCACTCTTTCATGCATAACTAGATAATCTTTTTTTGTAAAACTCTTGGCGCAGTACGTACAAGTGTAAGGTTTGAATCCGGTGTGGACCCTGTAATGCATTCTCAGCTTGTTTTTTTGAGCAAAACCTTTGCCACACGTATCACAGAGATGCTTTTTCGCATGAGGTAGCTCTTTTTTCACGTGGCGATCCAATATATGCTTCTGAAGAGTAGTCATCTTGCTGAAAACCTTGTTACATACAGAGCACTGATTAGGTAATAACTGACCATCGATACCTACTCTATGTGATCGTACTTGGTGGGTGTGAAGATACCTAGAGTAGGTGAAACTCTTAGAACAAACGATACAAAAAAATGGTTTCACCCCCAAGTGCTCGTTGTTATGTTCTTTGTACAAAATTAAATCATTGAACCCTTTTCCACAAGTTTCGCATACGTAACCAAATTTTTTCAAATGCGTGTAATTTATGTGGACAAGGAACCCCGTTCTTTTCGCTGTACTATACGGACATAGTGGACATCGAAACATTTTCTCAGGATCATGAGTGGAATTGTGAGTACCAAAATCGTAAGCTTTCTTGAATTTTGAATTGCAAATATTACATTCAAATTTTTCCTCGTGTGCTTTCACATGTCGTTCTATTTCATCTTTTTCTATGTATTCTGCCGAACAAGTATTACAAACGTAAAGTTCTTGATGGTCATCAAATTTGAATGTATGTTCTTCAACATCCACCTTTGGATGTTCTGATTTTCTATGAGCAAGTAATTTTCTTTTCGTGGGCATAATTTCATTACATTTCTTGCAAGGCCATTGTTTATTTATGTCATTGTTTCTTCTTCGATTGGTCCCATCTTTACTACTCTTTATAATTAATTCTACTACTTCCTTGGAACCTTTCTTATTTTTCTTTTTGGTTACTGGTATGAACTCATAGTCATCATTTATGTCATCACTATCTGAATAATACTTCTTAATAGGTAATGCTCTTTTACGGGTTGGACGAGTTTTTACGTTTTCTTTCTCTACCGTTTCCACCCTGAAATAAAATAATTATTAGTAGAATTGTATTCATATATGAGTAAAACTCACCGCCAAATAACGAATTTTTTAAAATATGGTAGACCAAAAATATAATCAATGATGAATCAACTATTCGACCTCAAAATCAAGTAAGGAGGAAATATGTTATGGCGACATACTTTTCACCTCTATTTTTACCCTGTGTATGAAAATGTTATCAACACAAAAGGTTGAGCTTGACTCGTAAATAAGTTATGAAATATCCCTTCACTGAGACGATCGACAGAAGACTCAGTTCACAAATATCAACAATGCTCTCCAAAGTGAACCGTTACAAAGCCAAGATTCAACTTCGACCGCCGAAAGATATCCGCTCTCTGCCTTTCGCTTTAGTTTTCACTGCGTGGCAACTAGTTGAAATCAGAGCGTAAAAATATAGGATTCTTGAACCGACACCAGAGGTGTTTCGACTCACCATAAAACCCATCAGGAATTCATTATGAACTCAATCGACCTTGAAGAACTAAATTAAATTGATTTTATCGATTCACAACAAATAATGGTTTCACTATACGTCACTGGAAAAATAGACCACTAACAATTTTTTGGTATTTCATTTTAATACTAAAAAAACCAAATTAATCTCTCCTAAAAATGTGTCCTTTTAATTTAAACTATCAATTCCTTTTTTATTTTTCAGTCATCACTGGGCAATGGGTATGTTACTTAGTCTCTTCATTTCATTCAATGTGGCATTTTAGAATAGTTGATGCCTACAACATTTATTCAAACACCACCAAACTACCCCTAGCCTTTGTAGAATTGAAAATTTTTGAAATTGTAATAGCGACCATCTTGTTCTCAACTATTTTGACTTTTTTCTCTTAAACTCTTTCATTTTATACCCATATCATGAGAGTGAATAAAAAATAACTAGTCTACCATCTCAGACAGTCATATTCTTTTTAGCAAACCAATTCATTTGATACGCATATTACGGGGGCATAAAAAATTACTAGTTCATCTTGATCGGTCCGCTATATTGCATTAAAAGAAGAGACATTTTATTTTTCGTATTATTTTCATCAAATCCTTCAATTTGATACACATATCATTGTAGTGCATGAAAAGTAATTAGTCTACCATCTTTGAAAGTAAAATTATCTTATTTTCGTTTATGTGAGGTTATTTGTTGAGAGATCAAAAACAACACTGTTGAATTTCTCGCACAGATTTTCGTGGGTTCTGACCTGGTCAGAATTACGTTAATATATGGGTAAAAAATTGAACGTTATTGATTTATCTTTTACAATTATTATGATTGTTGGTGGACATTCGAACATCATCTGTTTCTGGTTCATTCAAGATGTAAACATTGCTTTCAAACTACTCTCAGTTTTGACGATTCAACAGCACACAAAAAATTGCAATTGTTATTAACAAATTAAGATGAAAAAGTCTTTAATTTTTTGTAATTACTCGAAAACTATCAATGAAAAATGAAATAGAAGATTCTGAAGTAGAAGGAAATTCACAATGAAAAAGTCCCAGTTGCTGGAACTCTACCTCCACTATTCATAATTTTAATTCAACGCCGAAAATAGGAACCCAGTCACTCTTTGCTTCATAGACAAATCGCCACTGAGGACAGTATACCATATGAATTATTTTTATAGTGAAGGAGAATTTTTATCTTGATTTTTCAAAAAGTTATACAATAATTGTAAGTTAATTTTTTCCAAGCTCTGTTTTCATAAATGATGACATAAAAGTTTGAATAATAAATAGGCTTGGAAATATTTGCTTCATCGAGCCTTTTTTTATAGATACATACATATAGATACTTGAGAACATCATATCACGAAACATAATTTAGAAAAATATTCTACTCATAATCTAGTTAAAAATGATTCAAATATAAAAAATAAGATGAATTTTGATTTCAAATACCGTTTCTGCAACTAATAACGACAGTAATTGATGCTAGGTACAATGTTTCACGTACTTTGTTAATGAATCATTCATGAAGAAACAGACAAATCTAATATAAGTACATACATTGTTTCATCACTTCGCCCTGAAAATGTGTAATGGTTTATCGTTATTTCACTTCGATATTTCCTAAATACTTAGTCAAGAAATAATATTTTTCTTCCAAAATCATAATTGTCTTTTCGCAATGAGATAAGAGAAATGTTTTTGCATAATTAATAAAATTTTTCATTTAGTTGAAAATTTTTGAAAGAAAATTGTATCTAGTGCCAATTGATTTCGTTATTAGTTGCAGAAACGGTAATAACGATTGTGAAAATATATATGAATAGTTGTTATGTTGAGCAGTGTTTCGACACTTTGGTTGAGATTGTAGTAGGGAGAAATGTCATTAGTGTCAAATACGTCAGCATTGTAAAAACTGAAACTCCTGGAACGGCTTTGGAACTAAGAGTACTTGGCTCTCACCAAACAACGTCCAGGTTTGTATTAAACTGCCTGACCTTGAATTCCTGACCTGGAAGGAAAAAATAAGCTGTCTCCTTGCAAGGTAAGGTGCGGCAAAATGTACCAGGAATGACCCATTCCAGTAGGAATGACCTTCGTTGTCTTACAGACCTACTTTTAGGTCGCTGTCATCTGAATCACCATATGAACAAACTTGAAGTGTCCGAAGACAGTGTTGCTGTCTCTGTATGGAAGATGGTGAATGGTGATGGTGAATGATGGAAGCAGAACACATACTTTTAACTTCTGAATTTAAGTATGAATTATTAAAAAAAAACAATAAATGTAAAGAAAGAAGTTCAGGGATGAATAAGAGAAGGTTATTTGTAACCTTCGGAGTGAATTACTAATTTTTCGACTTCATAAAAAACGGAAAGAAATCAATGGATGCATTGTGTCATTGCTGGATTAGCCACGAAGCATAATGCTACGGCTTCGCACCTGTGTACAAAAAACTAAATACCTAGTAACTACTAGAAACCACGATAATAAACAAGTACATCTCGTAAAAACTGGCGTGCGTTATACTAGTAGTATGAACTGCTAAAATCATCAGCTTCAGATGAGTCTCCAGCAATAAGTATAAATAATTGTAATATACTATATCCCCCACTACTGTGTTTTTCTTTCTTGAACTTCTCGAGGAGAGAAGCAGAAATCAGGGCATTAACCCAAAAAATATTCAAAAAAATTGCATTTATATCCACGTTTGCGATCATTTTGAATTGATTTTTTATACCACTGATCTCAATAAACAGGGACTATTATATCTCCCCTCACAAAAATGCCATCTATAAGGTGAGAAGCTTATTCCTCAAGGACAGTTGACTATAGCAATGCCTTTGAGTTTCAGCCAAACACAAATGAGTTGTGTTTGGGCTGTGTTTTTTCAACCAACTGATCTAAATATTTGATTTTGGTGATAGTGTAGCTACAAGTACAAGTTACTAGTATCGATATTACTGTTTATACCTGCCTACCCAAGAGTTGTGACGGGAAAAAATTTGTCGACCTAACGTTTGCATATTCTATAGGCTTCATACTTTCGATTGGTATGGAATTTGTCTATTGACAAAGCCAGTGAAATGTTTGAAAAAAAAACATTTTTAAATCGTTAATTAATCATATTCTGGAATGAATTATTTTAGTCAACCCATTTGCAATATATTTATTGACATATTTAATTTGATATAGATAAAATAACTACTTTTCATCCACTGACCAGCTCGGTGAAGATCGTTTTATACTGGGATCTTAGACTATAAGTTTATATATTTTCACGTATTTATAGTTATTTATTTACCACTCCTGTTGCTGTACATTCAGTAGATGATTATCTTTTTTTACGTATTTCCAGGGATATACCTGTAGTGTGTCCAGATTATGACTATCATAGAGACGTGCCGGTACTGCCCTGTGCCTAAGCATTTATAACGAAGTACCTGACATTTACTCACCTACTTATGTACGGGCTGCCCATCAAACTCCTATTTCTGAAGTGGATGGGTAAAACAAACAAAACACTTGTGACATTATAGCTTATATGGAAACCATCTACCCAACTTGGCGTCATCAGGAGATGAACTATACAGTACAGCAATAGTGGAGTGTGATACAAACAGAAAATTAACTAACAACAGACTCGAAAACACCATCCGTAGCAGCCTCACGAAAACTTACTCACAAGTAACTTTACGAAGTTTTGATTGTTAGTATCCACTATTTATAGGTAATTCGAAAGCTTCACCTATCCCCTTTTCCCTCTTTCCGCTTCACCAGTTTAGCAAGAGTTTGTCGTTTTTCCACTTGATTACAGGTTTCCATATGTTGCGTATCTACACTAGGTTGGCTGAATGCATCGTTGTACAACATATATGCAACTTCTTTGAACTTCCTCTTGAACCAGTGTTCCTCCCTGTGCATGATCTCAGCTTGGAACCACTTCATATTATATTGATAAGTCCTAACATGCTCTGTTATTCCCAATTTGCTGGTGTTTCTTCTCGCTGAGAATACAGAACTAAACACCTTCCTGAATCATATCAACAACGTAAAACCTTTCATCACTGACACTAAGTGGTAAACATTTGTATAAACTCCAACGCATCCAACCACCATCAATCTACCAAAAGAGGAATCATCAAGACTCTAGTGGACCGTGCTTTAGGGCTCTGTAATACGAAGAAAGGTCTCGAGAAGGAACTAGGCATCATCAGAAATGATCTTCAACAGAATGTTTAGTGCAACGTGATGCTGGAACAGATTTTAGCTAGAAGACAGCAATAGCCTCACAAGGAAGATAAGTGGTTACAACCAGTGCTTGTCCTTCCCTACGTCAATGGATTGTCGGAAAGGATAAGAAGAATTGGGTCCAAGTACATCAGAACCTGCCTCAGATCCGGAAACACCATCCGTAGCGGCCTTACGAAAACCAGGCCACCAATCGCGGACTGCGATTTCAAGAATTGCATTAACCAGCTACTCTGTGAGCGCGGCATATCCTATATCGGTGAAACTATGAAGCTATTGAAAA